GCTGGGATTATAGTCACAACACATTTTCTACAAACAGTAAAAGCAGTCTTTGACATACTGGAAACACAAACATCAAAGTACTAGAATAAAAACAGGATATCATTGCCACAAAAATAAATTAACCAACAGAGGGGGGATTCAGAAGCAATCCTGAATATTTCTGTGAATTTATGATAAATGATTGTTCAAATAAATAGGAAAAGGAGAGTGTTAAGTAGCTTTCCTTGAAAGTTAGTGTTGGAGGCAGGGTGTGACACCTGTAATCCCAGCACTCGGGAGGCTGAGGCAGGAGGATCGTGGAGAGTTCAAGGCCAGCCTGTGCTACAAAGTGAGCTCAAGGCCAGCCTGAACTGCACAGCAAAACCCTGTCTCAAAAAGACAAAAAAAGAAAAAGTTATTGTGAGGCTTCAATTCAGTCTCTAGCACCACTAAAAAATTCAAAATGTACGTCAAATGGAAAAAACAAGGTACAGATAAGAGTTAGGAGGGGAAAAAACAGGGCGTAAAGTTATGTAGCTAGTATGCTCCTCTTTGGGCCAAATTACACATAAGTGCTCAAATTCTCAAAATATGTCTCGCGTACTCAAGCACTGACTCCAGGTTATAATTCTAGCCACTAGGGCCCTCTCGGTTTACACACTAAGACAAAGCCGAAGGTCAGCATGGAGCAGAACGTCCTTTCTGTGCTCTTATCCCAAGAGTTGGTGTTTCCCGCGCTGCAGTGGCAGGAAGTGACATCTCCAGGCCCGTATGCCAGTCCGGATATTGCAGCGTTGGCTGTAGCTCAGCACAGGTACATAGGTGATAAGGACAAGGAGCAAAAGTAGCAAGTGTTTCTCTGATGGCAGAGGCCTCCTTGTCATGCCGGGACCCTCAGACACTAACTTTGAAAGGGGTCTTCAAGGTTGGGGGCATAGCTCAAGGACAGAGTGCTGGCCTAGCAAGCTCAAGGCCCTGGGTTTGATCCTCTGCACTGAAAAATAACTAACGTTTTAAAAAATGGTGAAAAGATTATATATCTATGCTAGTCAGCAGACAGCCTTGGGTGTCCATCTACAGTGGTGAAGTGAATCCCACGAGTGTTCAAGATCACTAGCCCTTGCTTAGCCCAGAAACTCCTCCCTTGCTGTGACACTCCAGGTGTTCATACCTTAGCCTGAGGTCCCTGAGGGAACTCATGGTGTGACTTAAAAATGATTTTAGGGGCTGGGGATATAGCACAAGGGCACAGCGCCTGTCTGGTGAACATGAGGTCCTGAGTTCGATTCCTGGTTCAAAAAAAAAAGATTTTTAACAGCTTTGTTAAGAGGTAGTTCACACACTATAAAATCCACCTGTTTGAAGCATACAAGTTTGATCTTCGGTTTATCCACAGGGTTTTGCAGGCATCACAATCTAATTCCAGAGTATTTTTATACCCCTAAAAAAAGCCTCTGCGGGCCATTCCTCACTGTCATGACCCCCCCATCCCAATGAATCCCTGATCCGATCTGTCTATGAATTTGTCTGCTCCAGACCTTTCAAGTAAATGGAATGAATCATACACTATGTGGTGTTTTGTGACTGGCTTCTTTCCCTTAGCACTGTGGTTTCATTGACTGAATAGCTTATATCCGTACCTTCTTCTGGTAAGATCGTGTGCATTCAGGGTGGTATGGCCGTAGACTATATCCCTCCCTTATTCTTTGTGTAAAATAATATTCTATTATATGAATCT